CTGGTGGCAGAAGTCAACGTTCCGTTCCGTTTCTGTTCTAGTCAAGTTCTCCGTTTGTGTGTAACCATTGAGAAAAAGCACTTGGATAAGTGATTTGATTTATATAATCCTGTTTTGTAGTAGGTTCTGAATGAGGACTTTTGCCAGAGCATTCATCTGTGTTTATTTTGGGCTTGCAGCCAGCAAGAGCCGGGACTGATAAAAACATTCCTTTGAATGTTCTGTTTGGCTTTAGTTTCTGAATGGGCAAGGTGGGGGTCAGAACACAATAACATACATGAGAATTCAGCATACAAAACTAAGAACAATATTCATAGAAACAAGTCATTACAGAGTAGAGAGATACAGAGGCTAATATTGTACAGAAGGCTGCGCAAGTTACAGAGGCCAAACCATCTCTTACATACAGTTCAGCAAGTCTAACCCACGTCCACACTCCAAAACTGTCTCTTATGGCCCCATGCAAAGAAATCCAGACGGTTCCCATTGGTTGACCTGTTACCATGTCTATCCAAACAGTCCACATTGGCTGATCTGTTGCCATGTCTATTCCAGTCTATGAACATACTCTAACAGTTATTTGATTTTTGTTGTGGTTTCTGCTTTCACAGAGATTTCTTCAGTTCACCATGCTTCCCCTGAAAGTTCCCGGAAAACCATGCTTCAAAAAAGAAGAAAAACTAGGGTTGATTTCATTTCAATCCAATATTATGCAATTACTTTCAGTAATGTATTATGTAATGTCTGATAGGAAAACTATAATTTCATAACTATTTTTTCACAGGCTGTACATCCTGGCACTAGATCTTCGGTATTAAAATTCTAGCTTAAACTCTTTGACATTTGGCTGCTTTTTATTTACTTGCTCTTGATTCCCGGCCATCTGTAACTAACAAAAGCTGACGTCACTGCCTCGGTCATTTTCAGATTTCAGCATTTGATGAGTCATTTTAAAAACCAAACTTTTTGTCAGTTAATATTGGAGGCAGCAATTTATTGCGTCGGCATCACACACTTTGTTTTCTAAATGAATCCTTGCTATGAATTATTTACTATCAGACCTTTTCCATCCACGCAGATTAAGACTATACCCCCGGATGTTGAAAAATGTTTCAACCCTGGACCTGACAACTTGTGTCTTGGGAGAGAAAATCAGTATGCCAATATGCATTGCAGCCACTGCCATGCAATGCATGGCTCATGCAGATGGGGAAATTGCATCTGCTAGAGGTATGTTCCGGGTATGAAAATTCCTTGTAAAGCAAATGGTTCACCATCAAATGCACGCTCGACAAAAGAACGCCAACAAAACCACGGCGAGAAAACCGCGAGGTCGAAATCGTGCCGACGAATGAGCGCAGAAGTGCGCCAACAACAGCGCGCCTTCAACAAACAACTAATAACAACCTAATAACCCTAACCATAACCCTAATCCTAACCCTAACTCTAAACCTAACCCTAACCCTAAACCTAACCCTAAACCTAACCCTGAACCTAACCTTTACCTTAACTTAAATCACACTTTTGTGGGTGCAGTTTTGTTGGCGCGTTGTTGTCGTGTTTATGATGTCGCGGTTTTCTCGCCGTGGTTTTCTCAGTGCACTTTTGTCGTACGCGCATTTGTCGGGTCACGAAAGCAAATCAGCAGGGAAGATGGTTCAGTTAAGGGAAGAAATGTCTTTGTTCAAATTAAAGAAATATTATTTTCTCCAGTCTGTTATGCCTATTTTAAAATGATATTTTGCATAGGGAACAAGAAGTTAATACTATACCTCGCGTTTTGAACTTCCGAGCAAAATATAAGGCAACATGGCAAATAAAATGATAGGGATGCAATATTTAGTTGACTAATCAGGAAATGCTTTTACAATCTAGCACTGGCATCCCTTTTAAGGTTTAGAACCAGTATTAATCTGCTAAACTAGAGCTGAGGAAAAAGTAAACCTCTGTTGGCACACTGCAATAGGGCTACTTTTCTGGAAATGGGACACTACATCAGTGATGGGATTCAAATAATTTAA